TTTTTTCAGTTAAATGCTTGTGCTAGTTCATGCATGTGCGGTACTTATCTGTTGTCACTGGCAACACGCTTGTTGTTGCAATACGCTGCGCTTAACGGGGGTAATGTCATTTCATGCATTCGGAGTTATTTACACTGTTAATTAAGAGTTGGATTCTTATGCACGTGCGCGCACTCAGCGACCCAAGCGAGAGCTTAATGCGTTTCTTTCATGGTTACGGAAGTCTTCGGCAGCGCCGCAGTTACTTGCTCGAGTTACTAGCCTGCCTCCGGCTGGAGAGAGTAGCCGCTTGCAGTCGGGGGCGGAATTAAAGCGGAGACATCAAATCAGACACTTTCTGCTCCTGGAAACACAGATTTGTGAGCATTGGAATTGAATTGTTAAAATAAGCATGCAACACACATCGTGCTTGTCATCACAGAATCTAACCAATGAGAATAAAGTGTCGTCATCAAGGCTTTGCAGTGCCTGACCTAGGCGGCTGGTCCCATTTTGCTCTCGCGGTACTTTGAATGCACGTGTGATCGTAGGGCAGCTGCAGCGTTATCTCTAAAAGAGTGTGTTTTTGGATGAGAGGAAAAGATAACCTTATTCCGTGTTATGTGAACCGTGGATGCAATTTGTTTTTCCAAGGCAGCAATGGAGTTTCTCAAGCGTGTTTATTTGTTCCCGTCATTTCGGTGACAAATGTTTTAAAACAAGGTACGTTCTGACACTGGATTTGCACAGTGTCTGGAAGATGGAGAAGCCCCAGCGATCAAAGATCCCGGTCATATAAGAACTGCGTAAAACTGCATCAAATGTCTGTGATTGTTAGTAAACGTAAGTGCTCGTAAGTGCTCCGCCCACGGCTCGCCTCCAGGAGCTTGGCTGTTTTCGAGAGAATCGCAAGCTGTATCTTTCTTTTATAAATCTGATAAAACTGAAGACTCTTTGGAGATGTGAATGATGCAATACTACAATTATAGGTATTCAAGATAACATGAGATTGGCTAAAACTGTGTGTGCTGCGGCGCAGCTCAGAGAGAAATTGGTAAACGGTCATTGTTCAGTTGAAGTCGTCTGCATCCAGAAACCTCAGAAAATCAGCTAATGACTAAGCAGGCAGCGTTTGTTCATGAAGGTAACTCATGAAACTGGGGAACATGCTTGTCCCAGAGCTATCTGGTTGTTATTCGGAACATGCTTGTTCTGAACGCTGTAGTTGTATTGGGAACATGCTTGTTCTTAAGCTACCTGGTCGTAATGGGAACATGCTTGTTCTTAAGTTATAG